TATATATTTTTCGTTATCCTTGAATTATTTCCTTCAAAATAAAAAAAATTAGCTACGCTCGAGAATGTCGAAATGACCTTATTTTTTATATATGTATATAAAGATTCTTCGAAAATATTAGCTTCCATGTTCTTATAATAGTCAACATTACCGTTCTCAAGTTTTTTCCAAATAATTTTAAAGAACTCGGAACCCATCCTTTACTTCCTCCGCAATGCACAATGATTAATCGCGATCCTTTGTTTGCTGGCATGTTAGGCGTACACATTTTCGAACCATCAGTCGAACCTTTCGCAACTGTGTCGTTAGTGTCTTACCAAGATTCGTCCAAATAGAAAATTTTCCGTTGCTCTTGTCTATATTTAGTTATTTGTTCATAGTATTTGTTAGGTAATTCCAGTATTCTTCTGCTTTTCATGACTGCTTGATGTTTGTTTATTATTTGAAACCTAAATCCTAGTTTCTTTATCCTATCCTATCCTATCCTATCCTATCCAATCCAAGTTTTGTCACAGCAGCTCATGTTATGGACGAAAGTATTCAATTTCTTCCGTATAATTTCAGTTGTAGGAATCTCATTGCTCTTGAAACAGTCATATATCGTTTTTTTCAATAATTTCAATACATGAACATCTAGAGGTTTTGGTAATCCTGTATCACATCGCGTCTTGCGTTCATAAGGTTTGTTTTTGACTATTTTACATACAGTTCAGAAAGAAATTTCGGTCAAATCTGATGTTGCTTGTGATAGTTTGTTTCCCTCGAAACCAAACTTGAGTACATTCTTATATAAATTCGAACATACTCTTTATGTTTCAATATTCAAATGCATCCGAATCTTATTCACTGGTATCTCTTTTTCGAATTGTTCGCCTTAGCTATTGGAATCACTGCACTAGAAGAAGTCTGCGTTGTTATCACAATCCTTAGTACTATTAGTACTTATATAAACAGATTTTAAGTAATTATGACTTCACCAATATCAAATTTCAACACTTAAATCGCGATCAGTTCCTGAACTGAACATTGATAGCACGACGGCGATAACCATTTCCGCATTCCTTGATTTCTATTCGTCACCATAACATGACTTCAAATTTGATTTAATGACTCTTCAGCCAATCATAAAACTCGGTTAGTAAAAATTATCCAATACAAACCGCCAATTTTACAGTCCACGTGGACTAGTTCGCAGCCGGTTCATTTCCATGTATTGGTTTTTTTGTCATTGAGTGTGCCGCCAACTTTAAGTATGCACAATATCATTCACTTCGACTATACATTGTTTTATTAGGGAAAAAAGTCATGTTTTGTGTGGCGAGCGTGGAGATTAACAAACGACTCGTAGGGTCACAAATAAAACCAACTATTTTTTCTTGAAACATGAAAAATACTGATCTTTCGTAAAAAATCAGATGTCACTTTCAATGCTAGCATCAGTGAAAGCTGCCACTTTCAGTGCGTCCTACTAAAAAAAGAATCGAAAACATGATGGTCTAATGATTAGAAGGAGTATCAATTCTAGTATTGGAAAGTTTCATCCCTTCATTTTGGTTAGTTTCCTGGTTTTTCCGTGGTCTTCTTTGCTCACAATCTTCAAAAGTTTCAACTGCAACTGTGGCTATCATCTTCATTGACGTGGTCGAAGTACTCTTCTTGACGTATGAACTGTTGATAAGTCAACAACAAACGACGCTTCTGAAGATAACTGCCGCAGTTGCAGTTGAAACGTTTGGAAATTTCAACCAAATGAAACCACGGCAAAACCCAGAAACCAACCAAAACATTGACGCCACCCGGAAAGTCTACAACTATCGATGTTCTTAGAGTATTATAAATACAAAGTCGTTTGCCTTTCTGAACACTGACTTAACATTTATACAATAAAATCTGTTATTCTAACTGGTTACAAGTTGATTTCTTATTTTTGTCGTCAAGAACATGTACAGGAATAAAATGGATTTGTAAGTTTTGTAGCACTCAAATCACTTCAAAAAAATATTTATTATAGTACTATACAGACCATGCACAGGTAATAGCAGGGGAGCTCACGATGCAAAATGGGGATTTACTCGAGCGTCATTGAGACATATTAGGTTGCCAAGCTTAGATGATAAGAAGAAAAAAATGTTATATAATATATACCTTTTCATCGGTGGGGAAAGCGACTATAGATTTTTAAATATGTAAAAAAATACTGTTGCATGGACATACTCGAGCGCGTCAGATATTGATAGCATCAATGTCCTACGTATTTTTAATAATGTTGGTATGTTAATCTGATCGTTTGCATGATGTGGGTGGTTGTACGTAAGGGTTGAAAGTGAAAAGAAAAAAAATGTAATCGAGCGCGTCAGGGTGTTGAGTGCAACAAAAAAAATCTATCATTCAATAATCTGACGAATTCGATCTGATGCAAACTCGCGGCCATTAATATAATGTGCAAAAAAAATTCGCCATTTTGAAATACTCAAGCGCGTCAGATTAAGATATAGATGGTTCATATTTATGTTTTAGACGTGCCGTCTCATAATCTAACGATTATCTAGAGGGATTCGCTTAATCTGACAAAAACAATATTTTTTTTATTTTTTCTCAATTCATCGAACTCAATTATTTGAAAAGCTCAGGAAATAGCATGCAAATAAATAAGTGTATGTTTTTTAAGTTTAAATCTGTTTAAAATCTGTTTAAAATCTGCTTTTCCGTTAACCAGCTGTCGCACCCCTACGAACGACAACCCTCAGAAGTCGAAACTTGTGCGAGCCAAGGATTAACGAGGTCTTACCTTTTAACGTGTGATTCCTAACACGGGTTTTAAGTAGAACACTTGTATCTATAAGAAAATATTTTTTTTAAATATGCTCAAAAAAAATTAATTTTTTATAATCATTTGATTAATATATGAAGAAAAGAGAAATTAAACTGTCTATGTTTCTTACCACTTTCATTTGTAAAGCACGTTACTGCAGTTTCGTCCTATAAGGACATTTCCAAACTTATACAATATATAAGTTGATTTCCTACCACATAGTAACGGCTACCTCCATCAATTGATTGATTAATTGATCATCATCTACATCTTCATCACGAACGAGTCTCTGTGATCAGCTGTGATGGCGTCATGGCAACAGAATTCAGAGTGGGAGAGGAATAGAAACTCGGAGAGGGAAATATGGGTATCACACAGCTGCATGCATTAAACTTTATCGACGAAGTTTTGTAATTTCGGCTTGCAGAAATCGTCAAATTATATATTTTTCGTTATCCTTGAATTATTTCCTTCAAAATAAAAAAAAATTAGCTACGCTCGAGAATGTCGAAATGACCTTATTTTTTTACAACTTTGCTGCCCTCCCCTTTCTTTACGTCACTCTCAAATTGTCAGGTTACTGGAATATACACTTTTTAGCAGGTAATTAATTCACTACACCTTAATCTGACGCGCTGGAGAATTCCTGATGACCAAATTTTTCAACTAATCTGACCTTTTATCCCTCACAGGCGGTTTATACAGACTGATTCACGGTGGATGGCACATTAGACGTTTCTGGTGAACCAGACAACTGATCACTTTGAAAATTTAATGGAGGGCATATTCGGACATTCTCTAGCCAACTAAAATATTTTCGACAATGCGGTGTTGCCGCTTCTATTAGAAAGCAGTAGCAACTTTGATTTTTCAATCGGAACACTCTGTATANAAGTGAGCGCAGAACTGGATAGACTATTTGACGATCGGTGGATGAGGCGCTTGGGACCATGGAATTGGCCAGCGAGATCACCCGATCTTAATCCATTAGATTTTTATTTGTGGGGAATGTTATAAAAGAAGTAACTGTATACATAGATGGTAGATCAAGCAAAAAACTAACTTTCTGACACAAATCTGGAAGATTCCCACATTTTTTCTGTATCAAGGTAAAGTAGTAGAAAGCCAAAAACTTCCTTTTCCAAGGTAAACATATTGTTTTAAATTTGTGTGACCTCATGAAAGCTTTCGATTGTG